GCCTAATACATGATTCTACCGCGGGGCCCACTTCGCCCCGGCGGGGGCCAGGGCCCCAACCGCGGCTTTCGGCCTAGTGTATTGCAGGATCGAAACTTAATCCGCGTCGCGCGTCGCGCGTCGCGACTCCACGCATGTCCGCGAGGGTCTCATTCCCTTGTGGTTGTGGTAAGTATCGAGGGACAACTCTACACACAAGATTTCGACTGCTAGGCATGGAGCGAACACACCACGGTTGGGTTATCCACGCGTCTGGCGAGAGGGGTAGGCATCTGGACCCGCTGAGGCCTACTCCAACAAGCAGCACCGGCGTACATCCACCTTCTTTACGCAGCAGTTGTTCGTCTAGATTTGGCTGACCGCTCTAGCAGGACCCGAGCATCTTCCGCTACCTTCCAGAATATGGTGTCATTCTTTGTGTACCTTGCAAGGTAGCAGTGCCCAAGGATGTCTTATACAATCATCTAAGACTTTGGCACAAAGGCATCAAAGGTCATCGAAAGATCACCGCAGATTTTAGCGATTGCCCGGCCGCCGCATCGATTGCTAGCCTTGCGCCTCGACCAGATAACTCTAAGCCGCTTGCATTCTTGATGCCACCTGTTCGCGGCTTCATGTGCTCTAAATGCCCCGACTTCAAGACTGTTAGCGACCATGAATATAGTAAGCACCGCCGGAAAGTACACCAGGTATCGGACCATGTATCTAGTAAGGCTAGTGGATCATGTTTCCTCCAGCGATGGACTATTGGCCGCGGCCACTCTTTCTCTGCGTATTGGAAGGTCGACACTAGTGCTATCCCTATTGAGTCCATCGAGCCGGGCTGCATAGACGTGGACCAAGACTATTGTAATGCAGGCGAACGAACGCTTGCTCAGATGGAAGCTGACGAAGAGGCACGGCTGCAAAACGAAAAGGACCAGGTCGTGGCTTTCGACGAGGAACTCGAGCAGGACGAAAACAGCGACTGGTTACGAGGCTGTTGCTGGCCACAATGGTTCCGTCACAAGCCTATTTCGCTCCTGCTTACAGCACGCTCAATGCCAGTCGGAGGCTGCCCTCGAGACCTCTTCCTCGGAAACTGGCACGGAGTGGACTGTGTCAGCCCGGCGGCCTCGGAGCGAGCCCTGCAGCTTCTCGTAGTAGCTTCGCATCAGGTGCTAGCTCGGTGCCAGCTGACGCTGCAGAACACCCCAAGGGTGTTGCGATGCTGGCTTCGAAGCTGGACACCGGTGTATTCCCCATATCCATTCGATTCCCCTAGCGCAAAGACCGTGAAGAAGTACAGTCGGATCTGGATATCCGGCGTATGCTACTTCATGCGGCTTCATCTGTTGACCAGTCATTTGCGAGAATCCAGCGCTGATCTGTGCAGCGTCGCGTTCACCAATGCCCAGAGATCGGCCATGGACAGTGTCTGGGCAGTGCTGTCGAAGACGATCGGAGAAGCATCCGATGAACTTGAAGCGGCAACCGTTTCTGAGAGCTTGGTCGAGTTGCTCTTCCAGCTCTTCGTTACGTTCTGGACAGAAAGGCCTATCGATGGTGACGTTTCAGGGACAGCAATAGCACGCCTTTCTGGCTTACTCGGAATACATCCAACCGAGCATGCCTTCATGAGGGCTTACGACTACACGCCGACCTTGTCAGCCCTTATCTGGATTGGTCGCCTAATCTTGCTGGAGTATGCGCTGCCTTTGCGCTCCTATGACCTTCTCCCGATCCCGTGGCCGGGCCGCGAGGCGTACTCGGATCTTGGGGCACGCTTGTGTGCACAGATACGACCGAAGTACCTCCAGCGTGGCAGCATTTGCCCAATAGGGTATCTTATCGAGAGGCTGCAGCATGGGAGGGCGATTGCCAAGTGTGAGGGTCCCCGAACGAGCATTGCCTGGTCGTTGGATGGGCAAACGTTAAAAATAGGCCAAAGCGAGATTACCCTGCCTCAGCTTCGACACTCAGTACACAGTATTGTTACAGCAGTTCAACAACAGCTTGAGGACCTTCTGTTCGACTGGTGGCCTACTACAAAACTACAGAGCGTCCAGGATGACATCTCCAACCGTCGACCTGGTTACTCGTTCGTCTCAGACACCACGAATAACCTGCAGTCGAGCTTTCGCGCACTAAGCAAGCGTGCCTTCTCGGCACACGGTCGCTTCTCGTTGACTGGTTCTGGACGGGCACGAGCGCTGCAGTATCTCAAGCGACGAGACCGACTTGTCCAACTTCTGTACGCTGCGATTCATGTAACGAGCGGCATGCCAGCAAGAAGCGAAGAGCTGCGGCGCATCCGGTGGGCAAACACTCCAACATCCGCCCGGAATATCTTCGTACATGAGGGTACAATCATCCTGGTCTTCTCCTATAACAAGGCTAGCACTAACCACAACAACTCGTTTTACGTGGTGCGGCGGCCTTGTCCTGCTGTGGAAACAGCTCTTTTCGTCTACCTTGGTTGGATTCGACCGTTCTCCGACTTCCTGAATAGAGAGTTGCAGGGAAGACCTACCACAGCCGTGAACCGGCACCTTTTCGCTCGTCACGATTGGGAGACCGCTTGCTTTAGCTCTGATGCATGTCTAAAGAGCTTGAAGAGCAGCTCATCTTGGTTTTCATTCCCGATCACTGTACAGAGCTACCGCCACATCGCCGTCGCGATGTCAAAGAAGCATATACCAGCACTGTTGAAGCCATTTGATGCTCACGCACCGAATGACTACGACGGCTTTCTTCGCCTGCTTGCCTTTCAGACTGGCCACAAGCCGTCAACCCACGCCAATGCATATGCCCTGGAGACGGCCTTTCCTGCGAAACTACAGCCGGAATTGATTGCCCGATATCTGGAGAACAGTCGTATATGGCACGAGTTTCTCTTTGTTGGGCAGGCCGATGTCATCGAAGCTACGATTGACACTTCGCTAAACTCACAACAGAACACCTACGACATGTCTGGTTACTTCCCAGATCCTCCTACGCATGCGGAGGGCGAGAGTCAGGACTTTGAGTCCGAGGATCTATCGAGTTCCGGACCGGATACTGAAGCAGAATATGGAACGACACCGGATTCGCACAAGGACCGTATTCGTGCCAAGACGCGCAGAAAACGCAAGAGGGCGGCGCTTGAGGAGATCAGCTTCAATGAGAGCCCAGTATCCAAAAAGATACGGCGATTGCAGGATGAAATTACTAAGTTGTCAAAGAGAAGGCGAAAAGTAGCTTGAACTCGAATATAGCAGGATTCAAGACGTCTAGCTGTGCTCTACATATATCGACTTGCATGATACACAATTCCACTGTTCTATCGTGCATATCTGGCGCAAAAGGTACGGAGGCCGGCACAGATAGGCTGCACACGAATAGGCACATTTTCATCGAGAGTGCGACGAAGCATCTTATTGGCTTTAAGAGTTCGGTGTCGTCGTTTGCAGTATATAAGCTCACATCCGGGACTTCCACGTCATACCGAAGAAAGAGAGACGTCCCGTATGCGCTGGGACACATAGTTAGGGAGGCTGGAAAAAGGCGTGAAGAGGTGAGTTCAACTTGAAGTCGCGGCCCGATTTGGTAAGCGCGGAATTTTTTGTATAGAAGCGTCAGTGGGAATCGTCAGTGGGAATCGCGCACCGAGATGTACAGCAACGACACGTCGCACTACGCCCGTAACAATTTTCATCTTGAAAAGAAGGTCTATAGATACTACAGTGTCAATTTGGTGTATTGTAGTGCGGTAGTTGTGGCGCACTCGAGGTCGTCGTCGCTGTCGCGCAAACGCTAGAGTCGGGCTTCATATTAACAACTCGAACACTCGGGACCGCACAACACACAACGACACACAACATAGATGTACACAAACCCGCCCGTAGAGTTGTAGAAATTTGCACGTAGAAGACAATGAGCGAACGTTTCGAATTTTAGGAACAGGCGAGCACGATGTTCAGAGCGACCGAGTGCGCTGGCTGGATTTGTATAGCTAGAAATACTTGAAAAAATCACACAGCACAGAGAAAAATTCTGGGATTGATAAGTCTTGTTAAAAGTAGGTTATTTGATATCGAGCTTCGATTCTACAGTCGCTAGAAGGTTGTAGCGCTTCGACAATGGAATCATGTTGGTCTTGAAAACAGTTGAGAGTCTGTGTATTTAGCTTCTGATGCTTAAAAATCGTTCAGATAGTTCATTTTCTTTAACATACATAAAATTGGTATCATAATTTTTCGGTTGTCTCACTGATGCTACTGCTGCAGTTTGAACGTGTTCGAGCGAGAGGTTGTCGAGTTCTCGTTGTCGTGTCGACTGCTGGAATATATTAGAGAAGCTCGGACCAGTACGCGAAATCGCGGGCAACGCGCATCTCGAAATTCAAGTCTCAACGCGTACAGCACTATGGGTCAGGATAGGCAATCAAAAAATCACGAATAAAATTTCTGACGACGAGAAAGAAAGCTCGTTCAGAATGGGTTCATTAATGAGCTGGGACTTATCGAGCACTACTGGTATGTTGGCTAACTTAGAGAGCTTCAGACGCGTATACAGCTAACATACTATAGGCGATGCACAGAGCGTAGGACACGAGATTAACGTCGAGAATGCGCAGGCATGGCTACAATATAATGAAGAGTATCAGGTATTGTTTTGCGTACATCATGCGTCCGGAGTGCGGAATCTCAAGACGCATTTACGGGACTATCACAGTGGCCGCCCAGCAACGAAGAGAGCAGTTGTACAGCAGTACTCGCATTTTACTATTGCAGCACCGGAAGACGTTAGAATACCGCCGCCGATGAGCGAACCGTTCGCTATACTCGGACTACCGAAGAGAGTATATGTGTGCGACGAGGGTGAGTGTGGGTTTATTAGTGTCAACCGAGATACTTTCCGGATACACCATAACAAGCACGGCCGAGCATGGTCGCGAAAGACACCGCAGCACTGGCACGAGGCTTGGGCGCAGTGCTTCTTCCCGTCTAGCGGGCGTCAGCGATACTTCATTGTCGACTATAGCGAACAGCAGGACGAGAAACCGTCAGAGCCAGTCGACGCCGATCGGCAGGCTATTCTGGACGATTTTGAGTTAGTACTCAAGCAACACGAAGAGGAGATGGAGGCAGTCGCAGCTGAAGTAGCGAAACAGGACAAGACGCTATGGTGGAAAAAAACCGGGTGGCAAGAGCATCTACAGGAGAGCAATCTTCGACATCTTAGCTCCGCGAGCCGGCTACCGGATCAGGACGAGGTGGAATTGCAGCAGGTCCGTACGCTGACGCACGAGCTGATTGAGGACTGCGTGAAGGGGTTGCGTACACTCGACAACGAGCTGCGGCGGTGGCTGAGGAGTGCAAAGCGGTCTGAGCCCGATGTCCGGCCGTTAGCGCGGCTACAGAACAGAGAAAGCCAGGACCGTTACGCCGACTACATCGTCCGCTTAGTCTGTTACAGTCTCCGTGTGTGGTGCAGTCTAGAGCAGACACAAAGCAATGGAGGCTCCGAAGACGCAGAGAATAACGGGTCGAGCAGCGAATACGAGCAGAGTGACAGCGAAGAGCAGGTCACATCCGCTACATTCGACACAATGAAGGACGCCCGTCGTTTGTTTCCGTGGCACGGCGAGCAGAAGGACTTAGCTCGCGGACTGTGGGCATCGCTACAGGACGAGTCATCGCCCGGACAGCAGATGCAGGCGCTACGCGATTTTTTACAGTCACTCGTCTGTCAGACGGTGCGAGGGGACAACTTCTGTAGTCCAGTGCTGCACTTTCTCGCTGTCTTAGGCATCGATGCAGAGATGGGCCGCTTACGCGAGGCAAACGACTTCTCGTTTATGCTAGCTGGGGTGGTATATTGCACGAGGGTCATTGCAGTCGGCGCTGTACTACCGTCTGCTGAACGACACGTACAAGGTGAAGAGGACGATGCGCGATTTCTCGAGTTCCGGCTGAAGTATCTGGCCGACGGCGGATTCAGTCCGATGAGCAAGATGCTTAGTCTACTGGCGTATGGTAAATACATTGCGTTTAATCATCAAAACGCAGGGTCGCTATTCTGGGAGGGCGACAATACCGTCTTGTTTCGGGGCTGGAGGATCGCTTTGGCAGACTTCCGCTTAATGGTACACACTGTCATTTCACATGCAGAGGAGCTGCTATGGGACGAGCTAATGTGGGCGCCGAGAGCAGGTCGCTTCACTATCGCACTGGACGACATAGTAGACGACGTGACTTTTACGAAGCGTGGGTTCTCGTTCGTCGACGAGCCGGCGAACGGTCTACAGGTCACTCGGTCAGGCATGCTCGACAAGATGAACGCGCATCCCGACGGACGGAAGATGAGGAGGGGTGGTCAATGGCAGCAACGGCCGGTGCGAAAGTATTTGCGGGCAGTGGATCGCTTCCGCGAGCTGCTTTTGCTCTGTGTGCACATAACTGGCGGACAACCCGGGCGTGGCACCGAAATCACAGCGATCCGATCGAAGAATGGCTTTCTACAGGACCGCAACATCTTTGTTATTCGTGGGCAGGTGGTCGTCGTTACCCGATATCACAAGAGCGCTTCACAGCTAGATAAGCCGAAGGTGATCCCGCGCTTTCTGCCGTGGCGGGTGGGACAGTTGATGGCGGTCTATCTGGCGTACGTACAGGGCATAGCGCAGTATCTACGATCGAGGACCCGCGGCACTGGACTAAGCGAGCATCTGTGGGAGAGTGACAAGGGTGTGTGGGAGACAGACCGTCTAACGAAGGTGCTATCGCAGCATACACAGGAACATCTTAGCACGAAGCTGACGACGCTGCAATACCGGCACGTGGCGATCTTCATCGGCAGGAAGGTCGTCGGAGAGGGCTTTGCAAAGGGCTTTCGAGAAGAGGCAGAAGATGTCGAGGAGCCCGAGGTCGAGGGCGACGACGATCCGCTGGAGATGTCTGCCGGTCGTGGCGGCGAGATCGGGGCGAATCGATACGGGGTGTCAATGGATGTGATCAAATATCTCAGCGACCGCACGCTGCAGACGTTCCGACCGCTCAGTGAGGGTTGGCATACGTTCTTAGGGCTACAAAGCTCGAGTGGTTCGAGGAAGCGGCGGCGAGGACAGAGCAGCGAGGAAGAGGCGGATCCGATCATTGCGCAGTGTGGCATTCTCCGACCGATTAAGCAGATGCGGATGGCAAGGGCATCGAGCGGGCTCGTGACACCGCCGCCGACGTCTTCGCCGCAGAGGGACAATAGCAGTCAGGTACGTTCAGCAGTGGTCTGCTAAGCGACGGCGTCGACATGGATGTGCGGCGTCGAGTCAGTGAAGACGAGGTTTTGCAGGCGATGGCGACTGTGCTAGGACAGGACACAGTCGAATTCCGGTCTGAACATCAGCGAGAGTCGCTGCTGTCTGTAGCAAACAGTACTGGGCAGACGCCGTTGGTCGTGGTGCTACCGACGGGCGGTGGCAAGAGTATGTTGTTCATGGTGCCGGCTTGTCTGGACGACCCGGGTGTTACAGTCGTCGTCGTGCCGTTCCGTGCACTGCTCGAGAATCTGCTGGCAAAGGCAAGAGCGAGAGGTATCGACAGCATCGAGTGGAGGAGTGCGGCGACCCGTCGTGCTACATTGGTGTTCGTCAGTGCAGACAACGTCGCTGGCACCGGCTTCATCGGACACTTGAAGCAGTGGGAGCAGAAGGGTGTATTACGACGAGTGTTCTTAGACGAGGCACATCTCGCATTCAAGGACAATCACTGGCGAGCAAAGCTAGCCGGGCTACATCAGCTTAGAGGCACTCGATG